TATGGGTGTGGCAGGATGTTTACTTTTAAGAAGGTCCGGATACCGGCACCATCTTGTAATGGCGGCGGAGGCTGTGGCTCTCCACAGAAGATCCCATGTGTGCTAGGGAGAGGAAAGCCTCTGAACTCTGGGGTCTGAGGTCTGGGGAAGGGGTGCCAAAAAAGAGAAACGACAGGTCATCTACTGAACTGAAAGGTTTGAAGTGATTGCTAGCCAGGGCCCCGCCACTTTATAAAGCTCCTTCGTTTAGTTGAACTGTGACAATGTGTGAAATGTCAGTAATTTGATTTCCAGAACGAAAGTAACTTGGTTTTCTCAATTCTTGTCCTCCCTCACTCTCACAGCTGATTTGGAGACAGTTAGACTGCAAGCACGCACTGTGTGCCACTCATCAACACGTGGCATGGAGCTTCCTCCCTTCTGGAATCTCCACTGTCTTATGGGCCTGAACTGTCCTCAGAGCCCCTGGCATGCTGCTGTCTACCTTTCTATGGTGTTGTTGATGCAAAAACACAGCTCTCACCTCGAAAGAGATAAGAGAATTTATTCTGGAGTGAACTATGAGAGACTTTGGCCAGGAACACAGATTTAGTCTACCCTAAATTCTATGTCCTGACATAGTAATAGTTCCACCAAGCAAGACACTTTTAAAATACATTGGTGAAGGGGCTGGAGAGATGTCTCTGCAATTAAGAGCACTGGCTGCTTTTGCAGAGGACCCGGGTTTGATTCCCAGCACCCACATGGTGACCATCCTAACTGCAGTTCCAGGGGATCCAATGCCTTCTTTGGATCTCTGTGGGCATGGTACAGCACGAGTGCACTTACATACATGCAAGCAATACACTCATAAAATAAAATAAAATACATTGGTGGAGCCATGCATGGTGGTGCATTCTTTTAATCCCAGCATTTGGAAGACAGAGGCAGGCAGATCTCTGTGAGTTTGAGGCCAGTCTGGTCTACATAGCGAGTTCCAGGCCAGCGAGGGCCACACAGTGAAACCCTATCTCAAAAATAAATAAATTAGTGGGTTACAGAAAGTGGGGCAACCCCAGCTATAGGTCTTAGATGGGATTTGACTGATGAGAACTAAGGTCTGTTGGTACACTCCAAAGGATTTACCTAATGGTCACAAAGATGTTAGGTCACATACAGAAGAGGGCAATACATGGCTGGAGAGATGGCTCAGTGGTTAAGAGCACTGGATGCTCTTGCAGAGGACCTGGGTTTGAATCCCAGCACCCACATGGTGCTAATAACTGTCCTTAACTCCAGCTCCAGGGAATCCAATGCCTGCCCTCTTCTGACCTCCTTGAGCATTGCATACACAGATGCACTTATATAATACAGGCAAAAACTCATACACA